CCAGGGGAACCGACACAGCGCAAAAAGGTTCTAAAAGGAGCACTGAACGCAAAACTCAAAGATGGGGCAGCTTTTGAACCAAAATCACCCATCATATCAAAATACATCCCAAAAAATTAACTTCTTGACAGATACAAAAAAACATGTTAAAACAAGTTAACTTTGATAACTTGTTATAACTTTTCTATCTTTCCGCAAAAAAAGTTATAAGTCATGTTATAAATCCCTAAAATAGAAATAAGTTTAACATGAGTTACAATACTTATAACATAAGTTGACCATAGTTATAACTTATGTTAAACCTGTTACAACTTAAGTTATATCTAGGGGGGTCTACATTGTATATTGCATACCCATGTTAATCTCCTCCATCACGACATCTTGCAGCTCGGAAGTCCAAATCATCTTGGAGGCCTCATCGAACGTGTGCTTGGTTGTGAATGTACTGCGCCGATCATTGGCAAGCGCTTTTTGCTCAGGCTGGGACTGCCATTGAAGCACCTGAACAGGGAGCGGCTTTCAATCCAGCATGGAAAACAATGTAAAACAACAGTCCGCTTGTCTTGACGCATTACTTCTACAACGTCTGATCTTCCAACCGTGTGAAGCACAAAGCGGGCTAGACACGCGAACGTCAGAGCTTTGGAGTGAAACAAGATGAAGCCCACGAACCCGAATGCTCACAGATGTCAAAACACATGGTTATGCAATCACGCACAATACCTTTCTGCAATAGTTTATTTGAACAGTCTTGTACATGTATCCCTTGTTACCAGTCTGCAGTGTGGAGTGGAAAGTGAAGAGTGTGGAGTGTGGAGTGTGAAGTAAGGAGTGTGGAGTGTAAAGTGTGGAGTGGGGAGTGTAGAGTGTGTAAAGTGTAGAATGCGGAGTGTAAAGTGTAGAGTGTGGAGTATGGAGTGTAAAGTGTAGAGTGTGGAGTGTAGAGTGTGGAGTGTGGAGTGTAAAGTGTAGAGTGTGGAGTGGAGTGAAGTAAGGAGTGTGGAGTGTAAAGTGTGGAGTGGGGAGTGTAGAGTGTGTAAAGTGTAGAATGCGGAGTGTAAAGTGTAGAGTGTGGAGTATGGAGTGTAAAGTGTAGAGTGTGGAGTGTAGAGTGTGGAGTGTGGAGTGTAAAGTGTAGAGTGTGGAGTGAGGAGTGTAAAGTGTGGAGTGTAAAGTGTGGAGTGTGAGGAGTGTAAAGTGTGGAGTGAGGAGTGTGGAGTTTGTAAATTGTAGAGTGTGAAGTGTAGAGTGTACAGTGTAGAGTGTAAAGTGTAGAGTGTGGAGTGGAGTGTAGCGTGTGGAGTGTGGAGTGGAAAGTGTAGAGTGTGGTGTGTAGAGTGTGGAGTGTAAAGTGTGGAGTGTAGAGTGTGGAGTGTGGAGTGTAAAGTGTAGAGTGTGGAGTGTGGAGTGAGGAGTGTAAAGTGGGGAGTGTGGAGTGTAGAGTGTGGAGTGAGGAGTGTAAAGTGTAAAGTGTGGAGTGCGGAGTGTAAAGTGTAGTGTGGAGTGTGAAATGTGGAGTGGAAAGTGTAGAGTGTGGTGTGTAGAGTGTGGAGTGTAAAATGTAAAGTGTGGAGTGTAGAGTATAAAGTGTAGAGTGTGGAGTGTGGAGTGTAGAGTGTAAAGTGTAGAGTGTGGAGTGTGGAGTGTAGAGTGTAAAGTGTAGAGTGTAAAGTGTAGAGTGTGGAGTGTAGAGTGTAAAGTGACGAGTGTAAAGTGTGGAGTGAGGAGTGTAAAGTGTGGAGTGTGGAGTGTAAAGTGTGGAGTGCAGAGTGTGGAATGGAAAGTGTGGAGTGTGAAGTGTGGAGTGTAAAGTAAGGAGTGTGTAGTGTAAAGTGTGGAGTGTGGAGTGTAAAGTGTAGAGTGTGGAGTGTGGAGTGTAAAGTGTGGAGTGCAGAGTGTGGAATGGAAAGTGTGGAGTGTGAAGTGTGGAGTGTAAAGTAAGGAGTGTGTAGTGTAAAGTGTGGAGTGTGGAGTGTAAAGTGTAGAGTGAGGAGTGAGGAGTGGAAAGTGTAGAGTGCAGTGTAAAGTGTGGAGTGTGGAGTGTAAAGTCTCAGGTGAGGAGTGAGGAGTGTAAAGTGCAAAGTGTAAAGTGCGGATTGTAAAGTGTAGGGTGTGGAGTCTAAAGTGGAAATTGTGGAGTGTGGAGTGTGAAGTGTAGAGTGTGGAGTGCGGAGCTTCCCCCATAGACACGGCGAAGCCACGGGAAAACCAGAGACTCGAGACGAGACACGTGGGTGCAGAAAAACCAGCATTTCGTGCGAGACTTCCTCCAATTTTGACATTTTCGACACATTATCAAACAGGTTGGGATGTCACAAAGTGACACGCCTGCGACGCAAAACGACATGACAACCTGCTTGGACACATTCGAATAGGAGAGGTTGTCCAGCTAGACACGGCGACGCCACAGGAAAACCAGCGACTCGAGACAAGACACGTGGATGCAGAAAAAAACAGCATTTCGTACGAGACTTCCGGCAATTTTCAATTAGCAACATGACAAAAGGACAGGTTTTGCAGCTTCCCCCATAGACACGGCGAAGCCACGGGAAAACCAGAGACTCGAGACGAGACACGTGGGAGCACCAAAACGAGCATTTCGTGCGAGACTTCCTCCAATTTTCACACTTTGTAGCTTCAAAATCGACGTTTTCCGACGAGTTTTCCTTAGAACATGAAAATTTGCAACCTCAAAAATTCATGTTTCGTGCGAGGCTTCCGTCAATTTTCAGCACATCGCGCAAAATGCCACGCCTGCCACGGAATTTGCACCTTGTCGCCACTTGACGCAGCCCTGCCAATGCGATTCGCAAAAAACACGCAACACGACGCGTCTAAAGTGCTGCGCCTGCCATGCAAAATGACGATGGACACGTCCAAAGTGCTGCGCCTGCCACGAAAACTGCAAAACACATCTTCTGAAAACGTCGCAAAAGTATTGCGCCTGCCACACAAAACGACTTTCGACACGTTACAGAACACGTCTGAATGTCACGAAGTGCCACGCCTGCCACGCGAAACGAAGCAATGAGACGTTTGAAACCCCCAAAAAGGACCACCTCTTCAGAACTTACCATAGGCACGGCCATACGGTCCTCACACGAACGGTTGCGAACGGTTGCGAACGGTTGCGAACGGTTGCGAACGGTTGCGACCGTGAACGCAACGTCTAGCGAACACATCCTCAACCCCCAGACCCCCAGAGTGAAACGGGAACCCTTGCTACGCATTCGGGAAAAAGCTGCAAGGAAACAAAGAGTTGTTCAATTGTTCTGCAGAAACCTATCGGACCTATGTCTTGTCAGCGCTTTTCGATCGCCCTCTTAACAGCAATGAAATTAGACCGAGCATGATGTAAGCTGACCGCAAAACAAATGCATCTCACTACAGGGACCACAAATTCTTGTGCAACGGTGCGCTGTTCCATAGGCGGCGCAGCTTTTTTTGACCACGAATTCTGTCCAACTTCTCCAGGTGCAAGATCTGCACCACATGTCAGGCTATGTGCAATACGCCTGCGGTGCTTCTTTGAAGCTGTCGCAACACGCGCTGAATGTATCTAGCTGTTTGCCTCTGTTACAGTCTTCGCGTTCTTTCTTTTGTGGGCGAGGTTCATCTTCCCTTCGCCATCTTCTTTCGACCGGCTTCTTCTATGACCGGCCGCGGTGTGACCCAATGATGACTTTGCATCTGATTCTTGTGAGTCTTTCTTGTTTAGTCTTCTTCTTCCTCGAGGCAAACAGCTTCTAACTGTACAAAAGCCAGACTACAACCAGTGTATGTTCGACACTCCCACCGTGGATTCTTTACAGGTGTGAAAAACTATTTACATTTGTACACCGTTGTTGTTCACAAAGACCTCCAAGTCCCCAAAGATTTCCACACTGGTCAATGATTGCCTTGCTGTTCGTGATTCGCACCAGCACAGATTGCAAAACCCTTAGCCCGGGTTCTGAGGGAGCAATGTTTGCATGTTTGCAAGGTTACATGTATATATATATGTGTGTTATTATATATATATATGTGTGGTATTAAAAATATGTGTGTGTGCCCGTGCACACATACATGCAGTTAAATGGTATCTATCTATCTATCTATCTATCTAACTGATCTGATCGATCTGTCTATCTATCTATCTATCGATCTATCTATCTAATCTAATCTAATCTAATCTAATCTAATCTATCTAATCTATCTAATCTATCTAATCTATCTAATCTATCTAATCTATCCATCTATCTATCTAGCTAAAAAACTATCTATCTATCTATCTATCGATCTATCTATCTATCTATGTATCTATCTATCTATCTATCTATCTATCTATCTATCTATCTATCTATCTTCAAAAAACATAAATTGTGCATATAGGAACATACCATGTATTTATATATATATATATATAAATAAATGAATAAATTAAATGAAAAGTAAAAGCAAACATGCCAGGTTTCCATTGGTCTTCGCCTGGCAGCGGCGGACCATCAACTGTCGTTTTGTTTGTTTTTTTTGAGGGGGGGGGCCTTGCAAAATAGATTTTTTTGACAGGGCGAGTTGGTTTTGTATCTTTTTTTTGTTGCCAGGCTAAAAACAAGGGCCAGATAGAATGCCAGAATATATGCCAGATAAAATGCCAGAAGATACGCCAGATAGAATGCCAGAAGGTATGCCAGATAGAATGTCAGATAGAATGCCAGAAGGTATGCCAGATAAAGTGCCAGAATGTTTGCCAGAACATATGCCAGAAGATTTGCCAGATAGAATGCCAGATAGAATGTCAGAAGATATGCCAGAAGATATGCCATATAAAGTGCCAGAAGATATGCCAGATAAAATGCCAGAAGATATGTCAGATAGAATGCCAGAAGATATGCCAGTAACAAATGATAGATGTCATGGTGGGGATAACTCGAAGTAAAGTAATTGTTTTTTGTTCTTTTTTCTTGTCATGAAAATTCCCAATTTCTGAGACAAACCCGGATTTTTACGCTCCAAGCATCTTCAAACAGCTGTAGAAGTTATCCCGGTGCTCAGAGTCCTGGCGGTGCATCCCAGTGCTTTGTCAAAGCTGATGAAACATGGGGATTGAACCACCAACAAATGGTGACCAAATGGGAATCAACCATAAACATACCCTCTGGTAAACTAACATGACTATGGAAAATCACCATAAAAAATAGTGATTTTGTCCCATGACAAATGGTGATTTTCCATAGTTATGTTAGTTTACCAGAGGGTATGTGATTTAGCAATGTTTAACCAACTCAACCTGAATCATATATGGACTTGGGTGTGTCTGAAAACTACGTATACCCTCAAAATAGCAATGCTGATGATAATGATGCTGAACCATGGGTTTGGGGGTACCCTATTTTCAATTCGAACTCATATAGCCGGGTGATATCATACATCCCCACTGAAAACATATGAACAAAACAATATTCGAAACCAGACACCGGTCATGAAAATCTAAGGATACCAGCAGAAAATGATTTGCGAAACAAGAGGGTCACATGAACTCTCAAGCAGGATGATCAACACTTACCAGGAGCTTATTGTGCTGTGCAGAAGTACCCTTAGCTTCTCATGGTGACGCTGCTAAGCGGGACGACCCCCGCAAGCAGAAGGCAACCCAGATTGCCCATGGTGGCCATTTTGGAGGCTTCTGACAGCCATGAACCCTCATGTGCATGTGCAAACATGTGCTGTGTGGTAGTGGAAGGTACAAGCAGCGTACAGAAAAGGCACATCAGTGGAAAGTCACAGGGAGGTTCTTCCCCACCATTTCGCACAGCCTGTTTCGACAAAAAAAGTCAAGCGACACCACGACGTGTCGCGTCAAGCGACAGCTCCGTTACGCTCCGTGGCTCCTTGAATTGAAAACAAAGTCTGAAGTCCCTCTCCGTGCAGAAATCCTGGGCATCAACGACCGTCACAGTTTCTGATATCAAACCTGGTTGAACCAATAATGATTAGTTAATATTAATTATATCCCATGACGGATCCATGGTGCTGCTATATATGGTGCTCCATGGATCCCATCAATATAATATACCCCAGTCATGTTAGCATATATACCAGCACCATGGATTCTATGGGTATGGTCCATATGGTCGAGTAGTACGGCAATTGATAATACAAATACGAAGATCCATGAATTATTATCATAGATAAGAAACATCATGAATGCTATGGGTCATCCGATACCCGTGTTGCATTGCCGCCAGTTAAGACGAAACATTACCAACATCTGTCACCCGGGGCCGGGCCAAATAATAATTGAAGAACTATGATAGTCTAATGTCACTGTAATATACCAGCGAAAGTAGTGATGCACAAACAAGTACAGGTGCAATACCACCATATTACTGTGATATTCCCAATACCATTACAATGAATAGTATATGTTCACTGGATACATTGGTCATTCCTATGTTTGTGGTGGGTTGCCATGCCACTACCTGATGGATTCTTCCACTGTTTGATAACCGCCCCCTGATCCTGGGTTTACCCCATATACTGCATTAATGTGAGTTACCCTCTGATAAACTAACATAACTATGGAAAATCACCATTTTTAATGGGAAAACTCAATATAAATGGCCATTTTCAATAGCTATGTTAAATTACCAGAGGGTAACATCTTTTATTTTTTGGGTGATAACAATGGTTTCCATCCAGTTTTCGAGGGGTGATCCCCCAAAAAAAATCGCCAGTATGATCACTCTCACTGGTTTCGTTTGCTGCAACGTTTTTGGTACATGTTCAACCTGGACACTGATCTCCATAGAAAAAAATGGGAAAATTGATTGGAAAATCCATGGTTTCCGGCGTTTCCGGTTCCGATTTTCCCCCACAAACCAATCCATTGGAAAAACATTATCTGGTTGGTGGTTTCAACCCCTCTGAAAAATATTAGTCAGTGATTATTCCCAATATGTGGAAAAATAAAAAATGTTCCAAACCACCAACCAGGTAAAATGCATTACAATGATGCTGGTATACCCATAGATTGACTGATGTTAAGAGTCATCCAGTTACCATAAAACATGACTCATGAAACTGGATGTTACCAATGTTACCTAATGATTTTTCAGAGTCATCCAGTTTTCGGGATTCCCCAAAATCTTCGCCAGATTTCCCAAGGATTTCCCCCCAAAAAATGTCACCTTTCCCAACCCATCACGGGCCCAGGTCGTCGCACCACGGCCACACAGCGACCCGAAAGGTGGGAGAGCCCGGGTACCTATAGCAAGTTGGGCGGAAGCTGCTTGGAAAACATGGTGGCACCATGACAACGATATGAAAAACATAGGAAAACCATAGGAAAACAGTGGGGAGATTCTGAAATATCTACCATATCCTCCATGGTGCTGGTATATTTACCTAAAAAAATGGGTGATTTTGTTCGGGCAAATGTTGGTAAATATTCCACACATGGAGCATATGATTGGGTATTGTGAAATTTCTGACATTTTTGTCGGAGAGTTTATGGGAGATCTTTTGGGATAGATACTTGGTGGGATATCTGATGGGATAATATGTCATGTGGATATGTTATTATGGGACGTAGCCGATACTGGTATGTCATTTGCATCTATGAATCTATGCAAAGATCAACGGATTGTGCGCCATCATAGAAGGGCAACAATGGGAAACGTCGGGATGGATTCCAGCAAGAAACCACCAGAAATTAGAAATGATTTTTTTTGCCGAAATGATGGAACATCACAACGGGTGAAACAAACTACTCCCCTGTCAACGACTTTGAGCCATCTCCACGTTGGGTCTTTGACACAACCTCTGACAAGACATGTGCACAGTTTGGTGACCACCCATCGACTGCAACGAGTATCCAAGTCATCAGCATTCTTTTGGAACCCTACAGCAAAGCTACAATCATCCTTAGTTCCATATTATAATTAGTTGATATCAAAGTCCGTATGGTCTGGTTCCATGAAAATGCCTAGATATCAACGCATCATGACTCATCTATGGCTAGAAATCGGGAACATGACGAACAAACACATGCTGTCTTACCCTCCGAGCTCACCATCCATTATAAGATGTTTAGATTTTTCCACGCCAACGCTGGCTAAAATGCCAGAACGGGGCGCAAGGCTGGTAAACTCCTTGTCACGAAAGATGGCGATCATATCCTGCCAGGAAGGGCGCCGGTGAGAGGTTCAAGTCACGGGTGAAAACGGTGAGAAATGTGACAGGAAAGCCTAGTTTGAGCAGTCACTTTTAATGGGATTCAATGGGATTTTAATGAGATTTAATGGGATTTTAATGGAGTTTAATGGGATTTCAATGGAGTTAATGGGATTTTAGTGGATTCAATGGGATTTGTTCAAGACTTTCCTTGAAAATTCTGCTAAGCTGCTAAAATCAATTCTGGCATTGAGTTTTTTTGTTGTGTCCCGGTCAAAGAGACCAGCACTCTTGGAGTCGATGGCAGGTCACTTGACCCGGCCCAGCTCCGCCCCCACTGCCCCACCGCCTGCATCTTGTAGATGCGCGTCTCATCTGGCATGGACAACTGTAAACACTGCAAGCGCCTGGAGCGACGATGCGTCATGACGGTCATAGAACGAAGCAGATAGAACATTCTATGGTCATCTGCATGTAATTCACAATAATCCATCTTCCGCACACTTGACATATACCATGATATAATATGATATACTCAATTTTGGGGTCAGTTCTATCTTATTTCACCGTCTCATTTATGATGCAATAAAGCGGGTGCCACATCAGGCTGCCAACCACTATGGGGTATGCTCATCCCACCAAAAATATATGGATTCCTTTTTGGACGGTATGGCTTCCACTACTAAGCCAGTGGAAACACCAAGGATGTTTAAATATTGCCAGCTTCAATATCACCAGCTATAACGGAATGTTTGAAACCCTTCTGTCAATGAAATATGTGATATAATAATTACCCCCAAAAAAGAATTCACGTAGTCAATTGTCCCACAAATTAAGCAGGGTTTCACAGTTCTACACATCTTTTGTGCGTGTTGCTATATGTGATATTGAAATCGACCTTGGCTACTAACCGTTACTAAACAATGATATGAACGGTTCAGTTCAGTTGATATGTTGTTGGATCATCATTGGATCATCTCAGTAGTACATATGGGACTCCCAAAGAGATTCAGTATTTTGAGGCTAGCTTCTGTTACATGTTGATATTAGAAATTGATGGCGTAACTGTTGAAATATTGCTTCAATAAATTCCTATTGTCAATTCTACCCTCTGGTAAACATACAAAAAGCTATTGAAAATGGCCATAGAAATAGTGGTTTTTCCCATTAAAAATGGTGATTTTCCATAGTTATGTAAACGTTTACCCGAGGGTCTTCGTTCCATTTCCATCTCCTATTCTGGTTGGGTTCCCAGCGTTTTCGAACAACGCACCTGTCCAACTGGAGCCTTGCAACTGTGGCAGTACCACTGTCCTGGCAGTGGAGCTTTCAGAATGGATATGGAGGTTTCCTAAAATGCTGGTACCCCAAGCTGGATGGTTTAGTTCATGGAAATTCCATCTACAAAATGGATGAGTTGGGGGGTACCACTATTTTAGAAAACCACCATATAAATAGATGCTTAAATCATCTTAAATCATCTTAAATCCCGATGTTTATAAATGTCTATAACTCATATGTATATATATATACCCTCTGGTTATTTAACATAGCCATGGAAAATCCCTTGTAAATGGAGGTTTCAATAGGTAAACCATCTATAAATGGACCATGCTCCATGGCTATGTTAAATAACCAGAGGGTATATATATATATAATTACAACAAAAACAAACCAACCGAATCACGTGTCACACCTGCATCCTCAATCAAGTGTATACAAGTATTATCCACAAGATATCCCCACAATGTATGGTCACTGTTCAGGTTATATCCTGCAGAAATGATGGTATATAAACATGCTCATATCCACCTTTTTCATGGTTAAACCTGGTTATGTACATCACCACGCTTCATCGGTCAGATATGGAACAATCCCATTTACCACGTTCAAATTGGTTCATGTAACCAGGTTTAACCACGAACCATGGGGATTTGACAAGATTAAACATGGTTAACTATGAACAACGGTCAATGATTAGTTACCCTTTGGTAATCAAACGTGGATCGCTGGAAAGTCAACTTTTTAGTTCGATGATATTCCCAGCTATGCTTCAAGAACCTCCATTCGAGTGCCGGGATTTTCCGTTGCCACGTTACCAAAGGATGAATGCGTCATGGTTAAATATGAACAGTGAATAAACATGGATGACATATAAATGGTTCATGGTTCCTATTAACCCATAGGTTAAACCCACATTTTCATAGGTTAGACCAAGTATACATCAGCATTTTTCATTGGTAACTTGGTAACCGTCTGGTAAACTAACAGTTCGATGTGTATTTTCCCACCATGTAGAGCATGTTCCGAGGAAAACCATAGTTTTTCATGGGTTTTCCACATCTATGTTAGTTTACCCAAGGGTAAATGTCTTAAAATTCCCCTTTTTCCAAGGCGGTCCCTGCCGGTCGAACCTCATCGAGGAGATCCACGGACATGCCCTCTGTGGCGTCCTGTGACATGCCGCTGATGTGTACCGTACCATTGGCTTATGTGTATATATGTATTACATACCCATAGGATCCATGGTGCTGCTATATATGGTAACATTTACCATCAATATACCCCAAAAGGTTAGCATATATATATATACCATACATGGATCCTATGGGATATGGTATACACATATATATATAGAATATAATGAATATATGGAAGGTTCCAGAAATGGGGGTACCCCAAAAGCTGGATGGTTTATTTCATGGAAATCCATCTATAATAGCTGGATGATTTAGAAGGACCCCTTTTTCAGGAAACCGAAACATATATGTATATATGCAATATATTAATGTGTACCATACTATATCATCAATATGGCATATAAATTAAGATATATTACTGATGATAACTGAATGATAACTGAAGTTTAGTTAAATAATATACGCATATTGTAAGTTCCAAAGAGATCGAATAAGTAAAACTTTTACTACATTAGTAGGATTCTACATGTCGGCATCTTTTTGGGGGGTGCGATGTGTATACATATGCATATATATATATATATACAGATATAGTCAGTCCTGGAGTAGATATATAGAATATGGACATTTCAAGAAAATCCTCACTCCAATGGGAATACAATTCAAACTGTATATATATATATAAACATGGTTAGACAAATGTCTTTGTTGTTGTTTTAGTTCTAATTATTATTGTTATCATAATATATAAATCCACTTTGGATCGTCAATTCCTCAGTAACTTCCTGTAAGTCTACATAAATCCCACCTCACTACACTAAATGGACCTTGAACCATATCCCTGCCACAATAAATAGACCTACTACATACTTTATTTTTCATCTGATATACACCTATTTTATAAACTCGATATGCACCCTGATAAAGATGCATAGCACCGCAGGTATAATCCTTTCCAATCTCAAACACACCTGCAAACCATCCAAAATGTGAAATTAGATCCAGTAGGTTTCCAGGATATTCGATCTACCTATATATATATGTATGTACATATATATATATATATATATACATATAATTATAGGTATCTAAATATGAGGTAGATCTAAATCTATCTATTTTTTGTTGGAACCAAGGTTTCAAGGAGGGTTCCAACAAAAAATAGGGCAGACTTTCCAGCTGGTGGCACCAGTTCACCAAAAAGATCAGAGATGGACCTGAACAAAGCGTCGCACGGCCATCTGCAGGCGAACCTGGGAACATTGAGGGAGCATCTGAATGATGTAAGTCTGGTTGTGATTGCAACTGATTTTTTTTTGATGTATAAGTCAGCTCTGATAGGATGTAAATGTAAACCTTAGAAAAGAAACGAGCTGATAACGGTATAACTGTATACCCTCTGGTGAACTAACATAGCAATGGAAAATGGCTATTTATAGTGGATTTTCCCATTAAGAATGGTGATTTTCCATTGCTATGTTAGTTCACCAGAGGGTAACCATGATTTATCTACCCAACCACAAGATTCACAAGACGGATCTTGGCGTTGACATGGGTGAACTCGGATCGGCTGTCCAACATAGTTTGGGTTTTTTAAATGTGGTACACCCCACAGGCCCAATGCCATGAACCATCCCCAATATAGAGGCTTTACCGCATTAAACAAAAAAAACACTTTTAAATGTGGTACACCCCACAATGGCCCAATGCCATGAACCATCCCCAATATAGAGGCTTTACCGCATTAAACAAAAAAAACATTAAATACTCTTTAAAAAAAGAACACCTGAAATGTCATGAAATCTTACCACATCAAACACTATAAATGACGATGATACTAAAAAAACACATGCAATCTTCAATGACTCTCACAGCCATGGTGATTCGCACCGCACCTTCTCCTGGTTCTCGGTACTGAGCTGTGGTACCATACACCTCGGTTGGCAGTTTTTCAATGTGGAAAAATAGATAGATAGCTAAGATATATATATATACATACCTGGAACCCAAATTACCCCTCTTTTGGATGATTGACTCTCAATTTTATGGGTCAACACCTTGAAAGCAAGGGTCATTTGGATTCCAGGTATATATATATATATATTTTGATATACTACACGTATAGTCACGTATAGATAAACATAGATTAATTATAGATAAATAGATTAGATATGATTAGATTAAACAGATACATAGGATTACATAGGTAGGTTGACAACCAAACAACCAACCAACCAACCAACCAACCAAACAACCAACCAAGACGTAGATTGTTCCCACTCCATTGAACACCGATGATTCGATCTCAGCACCCCAAACCTCACTGGCTCAAGTGTGCGACTGACCGATGCCTGGTCGTGTGGCTGAAGTCCTATTTGGGTGAAGTCCTCGTTATTCATCAGACATCATCGGATTATGTAATCCGAAGTCCTAGTACTGCAGAGATTATATCATCCTATAGTTTTACAACTGCAGCATGCAGCCCATATTTATGAGTTGAAGTCCTATTTATAATTTCTGATGGTAATAATCATAGTCACAATACACCGCCAGGACAAACGTTTTCCCTCTTGAGCTTTCCAACACCCTTTCACCGCGAAAGAAGTTTCTACTTGGGTAGTGGACCACGTCCACCATGCAGGCCACACAAAATGGCCCTCGGAATTATAACGCTGATCCGCAAAGAGATATTATACATTGTTTTGTCTTGAAACAGGGGACGGGAAAGCACTTTCAACCTAGTAAAGTATACCAAAATGATCACCCTACTGTTCCAATTATATATATATATATGCGAATTCAATCCATTAATCCATTAATATCATGAGTTCATCTAGGCGAGAAAACTATGCTAATTCTTCGCTGATGCTGGCGCACTTCCCCTTCAGGCGACCGTGAACTTTGACACAAAAACTGACAACTTCGCTAGCAGCAATTGTCTGGCAAAATCAAAGTCACCATCATTCCTGGACAAATAACATATCCCTATCCCTATATATATATATATACATATATATATATATATATACAGTATATACATATTTCCTATATCCCCACATATCAGATTATATCTTCCGGTGTACGCAAACGGTAAGCAAACATAGAAATCCCCTATTTACTTCGATGCGGCTACCCCACTGTATCCCCATTATATCCCACTATAGCTATGTCATTTGTTGGTTTACCAGAGGGTCAACATACAAAAAGCTATTGAAAATGGCCATAGAAATAGTTGATTTACCCATTGAAAATGGTGATTTTCCATAGTTATGTTAGTTTACCAGAGGGTACCAGAGGGTAAATGTAGCTATTCTCTCCCATCGGATATCCCCATGTTTGGTGTGCTTACAATGTGGTGTTCCCCGCCCAATGTGGTGTACCCATTATTAACCAGGAGAATTCCCTCAGACATCGGCCTGTTGCATCTCTGCCGGCTGGTCCTGCTCTCCCGAGTAGATCATGGCCTGCAAGGCCGTGCGCGATGCGCACGGCGCGCACGGCGCTGCCCCCGTGGGGAAGATGTCGGCTATGTCGCGGCGATGTCCCAGGAGAAACACGTGCAGTTATGGCCCGAGTTATACCAGTTATAAGATGTTATAAGTACTAACAAAACCCCTAAGTACTATAGAAATCCAGTTATGGCCTGAAACCCCATTTATAGAATGTATCATCCTATAAAAAAGATACAAAGTTATAACTAATAGCCATGGCCATATCTGTGGGAAACACATGGGAAACAAATGGAAACACATGGGAAAAACAAAAACATATAAAAAGCTGTAGTATGTCCCATATTGTGTCACATGTGTTCCCATTTCTGCGAAAGAAATGATACTTCAAACATCGAAAAAATGCAAAACATGTGGAGAACGTATTGGAAACAAAACGAAAAAAACAACAGGACGACATGTGAAAACATTGAAACTGGTGAACAAACACTGATTTGGGATAGTATCTTTGAGATATAGGCCAAAGTTTGGGGATCAACTATCACCTATGTTCATTGGTACATTGACACTCAAAGTGCGAATAACATATTAATTAATCTGACCCCAATATGTCTGAAGCCATCTTCCACCTGTCTATCTTGGTCTGGGAGGATGCCGTGGATGTAGGATGGATCTTTCTGGTGTGTTTTTTCTTGCTAATTAATAATTGTATTGCTATACAGCATAAATAACATTAAATAACCATCACAAAAAAGATCATCAATATGTCAAAACGTATATCTTTATGGCACTTTATGGCACTTCATGGCACTTTATGGCACTTCAAGGCACTGTTTGTCTTCGATGCAGTTGATGCCATCTGGGAAGCGAAGACGACTTGCATTGGAAAACGGGAAAACATCAGCTATAAACACTGCTTGGTAAATGTATGTAAATGATTGTAAATGTCCCATTTTCGAGATTTTGAAGAACAGCTTATATGATTTATATGACATTGTATGACTGTATATTCCCAATAGATGGGTGTTCAAAAAAAGGACATTTACCAACCCCAAAAAATTCGCCAAATCTTGGATGCAGAAGATTCATCTCATCACACAGTCCGCAGTTTTCCATGGCTTTTCAACGTTGAAAAACACATATCCCTTCAGATCCCTTCAGTATCTTCCTGGTTGGTGGTTGAGCCGTCCCTCTGAAAAATCATGGAGTGAAAGTCAGTTGGGATCATGAAATTCCCAATGGAAAAATGAAAATTCTTCCAAACCACCAACCAGCATATCTTCACATATCGGTTTGTCCATGACTACAACTTAAGCTTTTTTCGCCTTGCAGAAGACAGCATCGCACCTTGGGGAAGTGGGGTTGATTCGAGCTGCTCAAGGGCAAGGCTCTTACATACCTCAGCGCAGCGGTATCTGCCGTGACCCTGATAGCCGTGTGATCTTTTTTTTCCATGGAATCCATAGGCCAAACATCTTACGCACATTTAAGTTGCTTTAACCATATACAGTAGGTTGATCTAAGATCAAATGTCTTCTGAATGAAGTGAAAATTCCTGTGATAGTGGCACTATTCATTCTATGCTTCTCGCAAAAGACTGATTTGTTCTATAATGCATATAGTCTACAATACAGCCATACAAGTACAGTACTACTCACCTAAAAGATCAACCCGCGCTTGAAGCTACGCTGAGTTGCTTCAAATATGTACTCTCAGAAGAACTTGCTTTATTAGAAGAAACAACACATTTCTCCGTATGAAGCGGGACAATATGTTTGGGCGAATGCGTAGGTTGCTTCTGCAGTCACTACAGGCAAGTTGAAGGGTCCATCTGCAGTGTACAGGAAACCGCGGGTTTTGAGTTGTTTTTTACCGGTGTCCTGCATGTTTTCGGTACCACAAGTCTGATTTCAATGATTCGGGTACCTGCCAGATATAAGTTGGTTAATCCCAATGAAACTACGTATAGAATCGTATCATGATATCATATATGTTTCCACCAAGTGAAAACTTAGATCCTCTGGATCATCTAGGAATCTAACTTCATTTAGAACATATTGTGAATGTCATGGGAATATTCCCTGAAATTTATAGGCCTGACATTTTTCGGCCAAAAATATTTCTGGAATCGGAAAACACCTCCTCCGTCCTCAATCGGTGCCGGCTGGAGTCTCCGTGTTTTGATCCACATGGGCCTGAGTTGCAAGTGCTTGGAATCCACGTCTATATACAGTATATATATATATTACTGATTGGACTCCAACACATAGACGGTATTATATTACACTTGGTCTATATATATATATACATATATATTGCAAGTGGTATATATATATGTATATATTACTGGTTGGTGGTTGAGCCGTGCCTATGTATATGTGTACTGTATATATATATATATATACACATATCCATGTACAACATGGATAATACATGTATATATTACTGGTTGGTGGTTGAGCCGTCCCTCTGAAAAATGATGGAGTTCGTCAGTTGGGATGATGAAATTCCAAACTGAATGGAAAAATAACAAATGTTCCAAACCACCAACCAAATTATTATGTGTATTCATGTCTATATGTCGATATAAGATAACATATCGGGTGATAATATGGTGTATTCCACGTATGATTGGAATCTAACAATAGTAATTATCCGCATGGCCATATATTAGCTATAAGATGATCTAAGATGCACATCCAAGTACCAGTTGCCAGTGGGGTTGTGGTTCAATGCCAGTCACGTGGGGCTGAAACGCATGTCTAAATGGCTGGTGTCCTCATTGTATGCAGATCCTGTATAGGATATCCCTCAGGGTGCGAAATCTGATGCTTGAAACATGGTGATACGGCGATGCGGAATACCGACCCGCGGCCAGCAGGGAATCTGCTAGCTGCAGTTAGAAAGATCTTCATACACTCTTACCCAACTCATCAATCTATCTGTACCATGGGTATGTCTCTGCAGAACGGGACAAAGCAAATAATGCGTATGTTTATAGCCTATAGCTGTTAGTAAATGTGCAGCTTCCCTGTATTTTTACCCTAATTTTCCCATCTTTTCCCGGAAATGGCCAGAAATCCTCCGATTTCAAGCGCTAAGGCCTTCTCTGCACTCCAGGGTTTGCAGCACCAGGGGAAGAAGAGTGACATGACCTGCAAATGCTGGGAGATAAGGAAATCCAATATATTGAAGATTGAGGATGTCATCACATTTAATAATCTATTGCGGAGTAATAACACTTTCTTTTAAAGTGAAGTGAAATCATCAAGTCAATTCCAAATAAGGATGTGAATGGAGAGACAATTAGAAATGATGATATATATATATATATACATACATGTGGGGAGATGCCCTCTGGTAATGACTAAGGTAGCGAACTGGAAAATCACATTTTTAAGAGACACATTGAGGTACTATAAACAGGCCATGTTCATCCATGTTCGATTAGCCATGATAAATAGCCAAATGGTATACTAGGGACATATCATTATTATTATTATCCTCGACCCTCCAAATCCTAGAAAAATATAGGTGTTTGCGGAATTTGACCTATATCGACTGATTTTACCCAAAACACCTAGATCTTGGATTTTAGGACTTTGATTGCATGTTTTTGGGTTTGGTGAGACAAAGGCCAAAAAATGTTTGCAGCGCATCAAATGACTGGGGATAAACCCGCAAAACTCCGCAAAAAACCCGCAAAAAGCCCGCAAAAACCCGCAAAAACCCGCAAAAACACGCAAAAACCCGCAAATCCTGAAATCTCATTGTTTTAGGTAGTTTTCGGATTTTTTTGGTTGTTCCAAAAATCATCACGGTTTGTGTACCCGGCCGTAGTGCTGAGATTTTCCCAGAAACATACATGTTTGGAACAAAGTGAATCATTTTTTGGTTTGTTTGACCTATCTTCTTAGAACGACAATTTTTTCCTCGGCAGTGGAGGGTCGAGGATACTATTACATTCATAGGGATATTCACGGAAGCTGGGGGGGGTAGGCGGGGGTAAGTAGCTCAGCCGGTTTATTGGGGGCTTCCGTTAAGTCTTCAGCGGAGCCCAGGACGAAGGTATGGGAGACAGGTCTTTAAGCCCTGGAGAAGCCCTTGATAAGCCCTTATGGAGGTTTCCCAAAATGGGGATACCCCAATAGCAAACTAAAATGGATGATTTGGCGGTACCACTATTTTAGGAAACCAACTTATCAGTCTTCAACCCTAGTTAAACCTTGAATAAGGATCTCTTGTTTCCTTCATGGTGGGACCAGGGAGTAAAGACAAGTTTTTCTCTGGCGTTGCGGATATCCGATAAGCCCTTATTAGGCTCTTACATGATAAGCCACTTACCCCCCCCTTACCCCACCTAAAGAGACTCCATGAAATATTAGTATAGACCTTCCAAATATTGAGGAATGAGGATGTAATCATCTGGTTGGTGGTTTCAACCCCTCTGAAAAATATGAAAGTCTGTTGGGGTAATTATTCCCAACTGAATGGAACCATAAAATTCATGTTCCAAACAACCAACCAGGGATGTAATCATATATTGGTGTGTCAGAGTAGTTTTATAGTCATGTTTCATATTTGAGGATTGTGATTTAACCTTTAACTGGGATGCCGATAGGGAATCTTTCATGAAAGCCTATGGAACATAGCCCACTTCTAGATTCATAGAATTGGATGATGGGAAAATTTACAGGAAAGCCCTATATTTGATGGTAAAAACCATGGTTTCCTGTAAATTTTCCCTTAAACCAATCCAGTGATAGATGATTAACGACTCCGATACCTCTTAAAGATGGATAGACATGGTGGTTTCCCACAGCTAAATGTGGAAACGAAGTCGGCGAAGTATCGTCAGCTTCGTCCCGGCACTTGAGATGATTGATCCATAGAGTTGGAAGGTAAGCGACAAAACTCGGAGACGGTAATTAATTATTATTAGATAATATTAGATACTATACTATACTGGCCTAAAAAAATTAAAACAAATATAAACGAATTACAATCAAACATTTATTACTCCCATGAATCATCCTCGAAGCAGGATTTGGTAAACATCTCATTGGTGTTTTCTATTGTTGACATCACCGAACAAGAAAAGTGCTCGTGTGGCGATTTCCGCAATGGTTTTCCAGTTGAACATTTCATCACCGATTCGATATAGTGGAAGCCTTTCACACACAAACAATAATGGCCCTTCAAATTACTAATTAAATCATTTCTCAACGAATCGCTCGTCTCAACATGAGTGAATGCTCCGTACACTTGCAGCATCGACTCACGATTTGACTTGTGGCATTAGTTTGAAAATTTAGAGGAAACCCCCACGAATGGCACGGAGGAAAAGCTTCCTGTCAACTGTGCGAACCGAAGCAAGCAATTGATTGATTCATCAATTTTAATTTTCCATAAATTTCCTATGTGTTTTATTGCATTAATGTAAACCTTAAAGAAATTGAAAGGAACTGACGGTTTCTGAATGTTTTTCAGGAATTTACACCTGGCTACGAAGCCTCGAATTAAACTGCAACAAGCGACTGGCTGCGACTGGATCCAAAAGGTCGCTCTGATCCTTGCGCTGATTTCATCTGTTCTCCGCAGGTCGCGCTGCTGGCTAGCAATGCTATCGCAAAACTTCTCCATCAGCATCCAACCACCAAATCATCATGACCATGACTGGTTGGTGGTTGACCTACCCCTCTGAAAAATGATGGAGTTCGTCAATGGGAGGGATAATCCCATATATGAAATGGAAAATAAGAAATGTTTGAAACCACCAACCAAATGAGTGTTTGTCCCCCTCACAGTCTGTCACAGTATACGTTTCTTAATCAAGTTCTAATGTTCCCCAAACTGGCAGCAATGTTCCCCTGTTCAAATGTATCATGTTCCTATCATCACTTTGAAGTGTTCAATCATGTTTTCATAATGTTTTCATATGTTTTCCAAATTTACGAGGCAGTTTAGTTTGAACAATTGTCCCTCTGGTTGGTGGTTTCAACCCCTCTGAAAAATATTAGTCAGTTGGGATTATTATTCCCAATATATGGAAAAAATGTTTGAAACCACCAACCAGTCCCTTAACGTTCCCCTTTTCCATCTGCTTCCAGCCAGCATTTCTGTTGCTATTCAGCCACCTATCCACGCCTCAGGGAATCAGAGCTGTAGCTTGCTGCTCCCGCGCTATGTCAAGGCCATGGTGCCGCGACATGCTACGAAGGCCACAATAGAGATGTTTCCTCAACAAAAAATGGTGCTACAATGGATATATATGTGTTGAATAAAAGGGGATAGAATGGTCATTTATACCAGTATCTGATTCAAATGAATTATTTGAATGTGCCTGTGATGATCATGCACAAATGCACAAAGAACAAATTGCACGTAATTCATATTCTGCAATAATTACAAGACTGACAAAAAAAAATGTCAAATTGTTCGCAGTCTCCTCTGCAAACTTCAAACACTGCTTTTCGCATCACTTCCTTCAGTCTTCAAACGTGGGCTATCTTCCATTCCTGCTTGAGGCTTGCCAGGTTTCAGTCGATCCTTTCTCCAAGGCTGGACTGGAAGGTCCATAGAAAGCGATGGCCCCTACGGGAAGATTTACAATTCGTGAACATACACCCATGGCCAATAACGATATTCAATATTCCATATTGTGACTTATAAACCATATATTTTTTTAAAACCTCTACATAGAATATGTAATATTAGTCATACCATAAATCCATAACAAAAAAACATTTAGTGGACATATTTATGAGAGCTTTACAGTATATTGCCGGACAGTTGCTTAGAACCTGTGGAAATTTTCCAAAACGCTCGGGTATGAAAATTTCTTCACACTTAGCACCTCTCAGGTTCTAACCAACTGTCCGGCGGTTCTAAGTGTGAGTCTGGTTTTATTTTCCGGAGGTGCTAAGTGCGAAGTCCCCCAACCATTTGCCTCATCCCCTATCATTCCTATAAACAGGGTAAACATATATAACATTATATAATATTATATAACATTATATAACATAATATGTTCAACATATATAATTATGATAAGAAAACACACTACAATGTGGAACGAATCGCATTCTTTTCTGCTAGGCGGAGCAGCTGTCAGTATTTAAAAACCCCTTGGTCGTCTTAGCCACCTAGACCTAGCCATCCCACTCAGATGCGGAAGATGCGGAATCCATCGTTAGTCGGGTGGTGCATGTAGAACATAAAGCCACTGCCACAAAATCCCTTAGTATAATTGATCTTGATATTATTTAAAATCATCATGTTTTTCAGAGGTTCTAAGTGCGAATCTCCCCAACTATTTACATGGTTATAAACATATGTAGATGTTAACTCATATCATAAAAGATACTCATGATTGTGAGAGGTTCTAAGTGCGAGTCTCCCCAACCATCTACGTGGTTATAAACATATGTAGATGTTAGTTGATAACATGGAAAATCATCATGTCATAGGTAGAGGTTCTAAGTGCAATGTTTTTTGGGTTCTAAGTGCGGTTTGTTCGTGTACCGATTTTTTTGAAATTTTCCAAAATTGGTTCTAACCATATGTCCGGCACTATATATACATATATAACTATTATAACTATTATATTCGCAGGCCGCAGTACTACTTAACCATTTATCTGGGTAAATCATAATATTTCACTAACCTGAATAGTTCGGCTATTTGGGGATGATTCCCCGAATCCTAACCGTGATTCCAGGGTTCGGTCGAACAGTGAGGTCGTTATAATTTACCAAGATTTATTACCCATATATGCTCCATGTATAGAATATTTACCAACATTTGCCCGAACAAAATCAACCCAGTTTTGGTAGGTAAATATACCATACATGGATATACATGGAGCATATGGCTTAATTATAGATGAACCCCTAATATTTCTCAAGATGAACAGATGAACTCCTCTGAATTCGGAAAATCCGCACCTCCACGGCCGAGTTGCCCTTTACCCTGGGAGGCACCTGATCTGTTGAAACGGAAGAGTGGGTCAAGAACTTGGTACATGGCGGATTTATGGTGGGTATAGCTTGTATAACTCAGGTGGATTTATGAGGATTTATGTAAGTTTTTGCTGTTTTAACATACACAAGTTGAGACCTTTGAAGAAATAAGCATCAAACATGGTGCTTTGAACATGTTTTGATTTTGACTTTGATGGGGATTCAACCAGGGAAATGAGGATTGAACGCTAACCCTTCATGGCTTGGGGATTTAACCAGCAAAAATGGGCTACAAAACTAGCGACAACGGGGATATAGGACCCCCAAAGATACTACTTACCAAGAATAGATGGGGGTGTCGTTGAATCCCCGTAATTTTCATTGTATCTCGCAGACATGTTATCATATGATCGAACAATATGTCAATGTGTATCTAGATATTTCTAAGATATTGAACATATACATACATATATATACAGTAAATAAATTACTTTACTTCGTGTGATCCCCAACATGACATTTATACATTTTCTTACTGGCAAATCTTCTGGCATTCTATCTGACATATCTTCTGACATTCTATTTGACATTCTATCTGGCATATCTTCTGGCATTCTGGCATATCTTCTGGCATTCTATCTGGCAAATCTTCTGGCACTCTATCTGGCATATCTTCTGGCACTCTATCTGACATATCTTCTGGCATTCTATCTGGCATATCTTCTGGCATATATTCTGACATATCTTCTGGCATTCTATCTGGCAATCTGGCATTCTATCTGGCATATCTTCTGGAATATCTTCTGGCATATCTATCTGGCATATCTTCTGGCATATTTTCTGGCATTCTATCTGGCATATCTTCTGGGACCTTCTGGCATTCTATCTGGCATTCTATCTTATCTTCTGGCATATCTGGCATATCTTCTGGCATTCTATCTGGCATATCTATGCATTCTATCTGGCATATCTTCTGGCATTCTATCTGGCATATCTTCTGACATCTTTCTGACATATCTTCTGGCATTCTATCTGGCATATCTTCTGACATTCTTTCTAACTTTCTTCTGCACATTCTTTGTCCCATATCTTCTACATGAGGTCCGGCAGGGAACACTTGGTGTGGATACTCGCGGTTGAGGTCCGGCAGGGAACACTGGGCGTGGATGGTCGTGGTTGAGGTCCGGCAGGGAACACTGGGCGTGGATGGTCGTGGTTGAGGTCCGGCAGGGAACACTGGGCGTGGATGGTCGTGGTTGAGGTCCGGCAGGGAACACTGGGCGTGGATGGTCGTGGTTGAGGTCCGGCAGAGAACACTGTGGATCGCGGGTCGCAGTTGAGCAAGGACGACGAGGACGACGAGACGAGGGACGAGGAGGAGGAGGACGAGGAGGAGGAGGAGGAGGAGGGAGCAGGAGGCAGGAGGAGGCAACTGACATAAAATCTAACAACCCTCACCTGGCAGGTGGGGAAAAACATATCAACAGTATAAACATATCAACATGTTGATTCAAACAATTAATAATTTGTCAATCTGGGGTCCCTTACCTCGCTTCCATCAACACAGGATATTGAATTGCATCAATCGGCGGAAAACTCTTCTTACTACTATAAAAATCCCATAAATTGGGACCCAAGTAAGATAGTACTACATAAATCATATACTAAATCAAGATTCCCTCTATGTACATAATCATTATGTCATATATGTATTGTTTTTACCATCCCCAAAACTAGCTAAAGCGTTGGTGACATGAGAAACCTCTGGGCGGCACCCCCGTCCTGGGGGTATTTGTATATATGTCTATGTCTATGTATCCCCTGTGAGGTGTGGGGGGTATGGGGTGGGGTGGGGGTAACCCACACGGAATCATACAATATATTACATATCCCATGAATTCCCGTGAATTCCCATGATATCTACTCTTTATCTCGTCATATCCGCGAAAAATCCCACAAACATCTCCATTACTTCTGGAGCAGCGCAGGAAGTTCACTTTCTCCGGGCGTTTTTGAAGCGATCTGAGGAAACATCAGAAACATCTGTGCAAGTTCACTTTCATCATCTTTCATCCTTCTCCCTGTTTTTTCGGTTGCAAGGGAAAACTGTTGATCTCGCGATCCAAGCTGTGGCTTCTTGGCACTCTCAAGGAATCCAAGCACTCCAGGCGACCCTGATTTCATCTTTTTCCGGGTCAACTTGGTGGAGGGAAATCCTGGGGGTTGCCATGGCACACTACAATTTGAATCATGGCCGTTTAATGCCGTTTACATGTTCAGACACACAAACACACTTCCATTATTAAATTATGTTATATTCATGGCTTAGATATACATAAGCCTTTGGTAAACGTTTACATAACCATGGAAAATCACATTTTTTTATGGGAAAACTCACTATGAATGGCCATGTTCAATAGCTATGCTATGACATAACCAGAGGGTACATCCCCATTTTTGGTGAAGTCCCAGTCTTTTTCCAATGTCCAACGTTCACCATTTCACCATTTCGCCATCTCGCCATCTCGCTACTCCATCCGCGACCGACCCCGCCGACCTTCCCGGGATCTTTGTTGGCCGCGGCTGCAAAGATCAGCAGGCACAAGGGCACGCCAATCTCAAAGGCCTACGTCACGCACCGAGGGCGCACCGAGGGCTCTGGTTAAACCTACCATTTGGGGATGGTCTCAAAAACCATGAATTCATGGTGATGACTTGGGGATGATTTATGGTGCTTACCACATAAAACATCTTAGTATCATGTATCAGTGTTAAATGTATAATCTATATGTCTATATCTGTTTACATAATCCTATGTGGTTATGTGAATTAAGCAATTTAATCCCTGGATAAATTGCACTTAATGTTTAGGTGTCGAAACATCTACAAAGACTTTTTTTGAAATCATTTGGGACAAAGAAACGCACTTTTTTTTCGGAACTGCCTCTGTGAAATAGTGTTAAATATATACCCTGCGGTTGCCTCAAAGGTGGCTGCGGAACCACAAAAAAAAATCAGGCTTGAAAAAGAACAATCAACTATAAATGGTGAGTCTTCAAGCCAGGTTTGATTACCTATAGATACCCTCTGGTTATGTCAAAATAACTATTGAACATTGCCATTGATAGTTGATTTACCCATTAAACATTGTGATTTTCCATAGTTTTCTGTAAAGGTTTACCAGAGGGTACCTTCCAGAAGAGCTGGAAGCCCCATCCCAGGTTTCGGCATTGAGATCCCGAGGTGGT